AAATAGTTCCTGCCTAATGGAAACTGATGAAAGTGCAATGACTTGTGTTGTACGTATGTGTCTGTGTGTGTGTGTTGTGTGTGTGTGTTGTGTGTGTGTGTGCATTGTGTGTTGATGTGTTTTTTGTGTCTGTGTGTTTCTACTGGAGTATGTTTCGGTATATGTGATTTATTTTCGTTTTAGCTCAACTGTGTTATTTCACTTTTGAAGACTTTTGATAAAAATTGTAACAGTTGTCATTATGATTTGAAAATGTGTTTTTTTTATGTGCTCATGTGCTTGCATAACCTCTTTCGTATTTACAGACTAACTCATGTGTTTTTTTATTTGCCAGTGCGTTGCGTTTGCCTGATTACTTATGCAAGATGCTGGGTAGCGGCATATGTACATAAATATTTTTACCCATATATGTATTCATAAGCTGGTACGCGTATGTGTATGTGTGTGTCAGTGTGTTTGTTTGTTTGTGTGTGTTTGTTTGTGTGTGTGTGTTCGCTTGTTTATTATGCTTGTATAGGTTTGTTGTTTATTTCAGAACGTTGACTGTTATATGTGGAATATCGCTATATCATGGGATAACCTGTTTTTATCCATTAATGTTTGCATTTTTGTTTGTTTTTGTCGTTTTCTCTCTTTCTATCTTTTCTTTATTTTTTCATCTCTCTCTCTCTCTCTCTCTCTTTTTCTCTCTCTCCATTTTTTTTCTCTTATTATCAATATTTATTTTGCATGTGTGTATTATGTAATCAGAATCATGTTATTTCGTCATCATAACCAACATTTGAATTTGTTCTTTGCTTGCACACACATACAAAAGCTAACACATACAAAAGCTAACACATACAAAAGCTAACACATACAAAAGCTAACACATACAAACGCTAACACATACAAAAGCTAACACATACAAAAGCTAACACATACAAAAGCTAACACATACAAAAGCTAACACATACAAAAGCTAACACATACAAAAGCTAACACATACAAACGCTAACACATACAAAAGCTAACACATACAAAAGCTAACACATACAAAAGCTAACACATACAAAATGCTAACACATACAAACGCTAACACATACAAACGCTAACACATACAAAAGCTAACACATACAAACGCTAACACATACAAAAGCTAACACATACAAAAGCTAACACATACAAAAGCTAACACATACAAACGCTAACACATACAAAAGCTAACACATACATAAACGCTTTCAGTTATCGCTAATGTTTTTCTTTTATCTGAGTCTGAATGGGGAGAGGGTTATAACATAACATCTTCCATGCAAAATATATCAGCTTCTCAACACTAAGTAGTAACGGTTGTAGTAGTAGTAGTAGTTCTAGTAGCAGTAGTAGTAGTGGTAAAGTAGTAGTAATAGTAGTAGTAGTAGTATCAGTAGCAGTAGTAGTACTAGTAACAGCAGCT